TTTTTTTAGCGCATGGCCTGACACAATAATTATTTGTATATTTGGCGTTTCTTTTAATTTCCTTTCATTATACATAATGCATATGTGTTGTACATTCTTATTCTCCTACTGTTTTCTATATTATTAGTCTACGTAAATATACTTTATAATGGTTGCATAATAATTCCTTGAATGAGTTTATCATAGTAACCATTCCTTTATTGTTGATTATTAACTGAATTAGTGAATGATCATGGCACTAACTGCATATAATCAGTAATGAGGAACTTTTTACTTCTGGAGATAGTAATGATCTCTTTCGTATAACCATATTATTGTTTGAAAATCCTTCCTTTTCCAAAGGGCAGACATTTGCCCCTGTGTTTTCTCCCAGGAGTTCTAGTAGTCCAGGCTGAATTTCTTCCCTTGGAAGGATAGACAGCCTTCCCAAATGTGAGGAAATGTAGACTGGCCTTTTCTCAGTGCCCTACAGGATATAGTTCCCTGTGGTGCCTGTTGACCCCAGGAAGGAATATACCTGCCAAGAAAGACTCTTTGTGATTAATTGGGCTCAAATTCATAATCAGAGTCTAGCAACCATTGCTAACAGGGGCCTTTCATGCACTCTGCATTTCAGGGGAAAGCCACAGACTGAACTGTCAGCCTCCTGCATTATGTTCCCATATTCCTAGTTTAGCCTTCCCTTACAAAGGAATTCTTGGAATTATCTTTCAACCAATGGGCTGAGACCTGTCCCATTCAATTGGAACTGAACAGATATATCCTTATTTGCATATTTACTGATCAATCAGAGCAGCTCCATCATGACCAATCAGAATGAGTGACCATGACCAATTAGGAAAGTGCTATTTGGATCAATCATACTGCAAATTTAGATTCCTCATTTGCATAGAAATGGACCAATCAGGGACAGGGTAGGGGCGGAACTTTCTCTATAAAAGCAGGCCTTCCATTTGTCTTGGCAGAGTGAACTATTGGGTTCCAGGGAAGATTGTGTTACCCCAGTTTGCACATTTTACCTGAATAAAGTTTCTTTCTTTTTGCACCCCAGACTAAGGACTCCTGTTGGTATTGGGTTGCTGACAGTGACCTTTTGTTGACACTCCTGGGATAGCAGCAGTTCCTAGATCTGCTCAGGATAAGGGCAAGAGATAAAAGGAGCTGGAACCTCAGAAAAAGAAGAAAACCAGCCAGGAGGGGTGGGTGAGTACAAAACACTTTGAAACTGGTTATTTCTTTCAGTTCTCATAGAAAGCATGTAGCACAGAGATTACTCCTGTTTTACAGATCCAGAAACTGAGGCCCAGAGAGGGAAAGTGACTTGCCCACTTACATCACAGAACCCATTAGTGTCAGAATCTTCTACTCTCCATAAAAATCACCTATGGGCTTCCTAGTCATTCCCCAATATTCACTGACTTTAGACCCTGGGCCACAGTCTTCTCTAATCCAAGCCTTTGTGATCACTTGCAGCTGCTGTCATCTGAAAACTGCAGTGCTCTGCAGGTTCTGACCACTGTCTCCTGTACTTCGATCCCTGCCACTACGTCTGCTACTGGACCTCATTAGAGACTTCTGTTCCTTTGTTACTTTTTTCAATATGCCAATTGTTTTTGACCATTTTGAGCCAAAAGTGTCTCCCTCTTTCTCCTCAAGCCTTTTTTTGCCTTACTTTCCTGATCATCCCCCCTGCCACCCTTCCACCCTTCCATCACCACCCATTAATCTAAATATTTTTGCTTTTCTGGTTTTCTAACTAGATTCCTGTTTCCAACTGTACCTGAATCCTCAACTACACACTAATCAGGTTTTTCTCCAATTCCCCAGATTAGCCTTCTCAAACTTTCATCTCTTTTCCTGTTTCCTACTTTTAACTCTTATCTCCCTCCTCCCCCACCAGCAATTGATCTTGTCTCCTACTTCACAGGGGAACTTCCACGAGATCCTGCTCTCTGCAGCCCAATGACGGCTCCCTTCCTTTCTTCCTTCTTTCCTCTTGGTTGTAGGAAGCGGTTTTTCTACTGTCCAGAGTGAATCCTTTCACCTCTGTCTTGACTTCATCCCCTCCCTCCATCTTTGGAATTTTGTCTTACCAGGCATTAGTCTTTCTCTTCTGCATCCTTCAAGGTCTTTTTTTTCTACTAGCTCCCTTTTCCTTCCTAAATAATGCTTCCTCAACTCCATATCTCCCTCTGGATATTGTCTGACTTCTCTCCTGCTCTTTTCATCCAAGTTGCTTAAAGAAATTCTTTCTGCTTCCACTGCATCACTGAAACTACACTCTGAAGTCCCCAAAGACCTTCTAATTGCACAATCCAAGGGACACTTTTCATTCTTTTTCTTACTGGAGGCCACAGCTGCAGCTCATTCTATCCTTCTTGAACTGCCGCCCCCCGCTCCCCCATCCTTGGCTTCCTTGAAGCCACTCTCTCCTTCTGATGCCCGAGCTTAAATGTTTGAGTGTGGTGGAGGCAGATGGCTGGGTCCAGCTTCTCTCCTGTGTGGTGTTCTCTTTTGCCCCTAATAGGTGCCATCTCTAAGGCTTTAGAATGTCTATCCCTGGGCTGGCCTCTAGCTGCCCCATACAGAGTCAGGTCAGATCCCAGTGGCTTCTCCTTTATTGCTGATCTGGGTCAGGCTCATAGAGGCCTGTGCCAGGTGTTGACATTGTCTGTTCCTGGAGGAGAGGAGAATAGAGGTGAAAGAATCAGGTACGAGGGTCAAATGTAGGGCCAGGTTTGAGGCTGCTTGAGCCAGGGAGCCCAGGGGGACTAGGGTGGGAGCTGCGTTGGCCAGAGGGCCCCTGCTTCTGTAGGGCCTTGAAGTCAGAGTTGCTGATGATGGTTTCTCGAAGGGTAGGCATCTCTGCAAAAGGCACATAGTCTGCTCCTGGGGGTGGAAACCAGTACAGTTATGAGATGTAAGGGGTGAAGGAGTGAGGTAGTCTTGGGTGGGATGGTTGAGGATGGAAGTGCCTTCCTGCCTGGCCTTCAGACTACAGACCCTGGAATAGCCCCCTTTCCAGGTTTCCCCCTCACCGTGAGGCCTCCCTCCTCGTCGCCGGGTCTCCTCAGTCTCAAAGAAAGTCTCGTGTTCCTCCCAGCGCCGGTCACAGGCCGCACAGAGGAAATTAGACTCAAAGCAATTGCAGCAACAGCCTAGAGCAAGGAGACAGCCAGAAATAAATATAGGGAATTGGGGCTGCCTCATGAGCTGATTTCTCTCATCTCTTCTTCACAAACCACAAACGCAAGTCTCTCCTACCAGTTTCCTCATCCTTGTCCCCAAACTATTTGCAACCTATCCCTACCCATGCCCACCTCCATACTCCCCTTGTCCTAGAAGGTACCTTTGACTCTGCAGGGATGGGACCTGGTAGCTGCATGGTCTTCATGGCTGTGTTTACAGCGACATTGGGCCCTCCAGGCCTTGGGGTCAAAGGTGGCTCGTCTCTTGAGCCAGAACTCACCCACTTCCTCCGGGCGTGATGGGATAAAGCAGAACATGAGGCAGCGGCACTGGCCCACATTGCAAGGCACAGATATGTCTATGGGAATGGGGATGGGTGGTAGGATTAGAGCAGCACTTGATAGGGCCTGGCCTTCTCATGCCAACCCGCTCTCCCATACTAACACATATACACTTTTTCTCATGCATCCCAAAATATGACAGAGTACAGTTATTCCTCCCCACCAACAGGGGCTGGAAGGGATAATTCAGTTCTCCCTACCTGAGATGATCTGGTGCTCTCTCAACAAGTGTCCACAAAAGCACTTGGACTCATCCCCAATTCGGAAACAGTCCCATAGATAATGGGGGCAACGCCAGCCAATGTAGAGACCTGGGAGTGGTGGGATTGAGTAATAAGGACAAATGAGAAGGAAAAATAGCCTAAGCTCCCCCAGGTGTTCTCACTGACATCTATTCCCTGGTGGGGGGACCTCACCTCTCCCTCCATGTGTATTCATGAGGATCCGCCCATGAGTCCTCATCTCCATCTCTTTAGACTTTTTTCTTGAGGTTTTCTTTTTGCTGCACAAGTGTTTCAGTTCCCTCCCCACTGTATCCCTGTCAGCCTGTCAGAGATGACTGAAGAAGTCTTCAGTTTCCAAGCATGAAGATTATGGATGAAATTTTATTTGAAGATGAACATGAACCTCAGTGAGTGATTGTAGGGATTCTCATCTTTCACTCC